CATATGAATCTCGAATTTAACTTTCTTGATCAAAGAGTCTAAAAGCTAACGCCAACCATGAGCATGGATTTCACAGGGAAGAGAGAGAGAGAGAGAGAGAGTGAATAAGTAGAAATAATGAACAGAAAATTAACCAAAGAATTATAATCAAAATATTATTAGTAGACAAAACTTTGGAGTGAATAACATATTGAGCGCATAAGTTACAGATATCACAAGGCATGCGGGTTGGACGCAGCAAGAATGCTATTTAGGAATACAATGTCGATGTACATAATCTCTCCAACAATACATGCTGACTGAGAGCTCTTTCTCCTTGATCACAATAAAATTTCTGGTACAGATATGGGAATAGTTACATGCTGCTAAGGTAACCCATAGCATCTATACACTCTTCTGATACCGAGTCTTCAATCGAATAAGCCCTCCGGGATCTGTTGGCATTCCTCTTGAGCTAGAAAACTTTTGTGTCTGCTTCTTCCAAGGCAGAGGCAAAATTTTCTGCTGAGATCCATCTGGATTTTCGCACAATCTAAGTCTCACTACAAATGTGGCTGTACAACCTTTTCCAATGCCATCACTTTCGACCCATATGTGACCTTGCATGAGACTGACATACCTGATGGACAAGAAGTAATCAGCGATGTGGAGAATAATGTAATGTAACACTACTATTGACAAATAGACTTGTTTCACAAACATGTACAGTTAAAGATCAATAATGCATAATGTAGATAGGCAATCATCATAATACTCTTTTGTACAAGCAACAAATCACATCAACGACCTCCAAAGCTTGTTTTGCTTGCATAATTTTGCTTACCATCATGGTCCATCACCTGATATTTTAACCTTTGTTTGACTTCTAATCTTCAGCAACATGCCCACTCTGCTATTGTCTTCAACTTTAACTAACACAAGGGAAAAATTAAAAAGAGGTACTTACCCAGTAGCTGTGGACCTTAACATTTTAATAGCATGATGATTTTGCTACCGTGGACTGGAAGTGTATGTCATAGTATAGCTTCGTTATGTCTATGTCATCTATATTTTCTTTTCTCTCTTAGTTAAGCCCATAATTATGCTATTCTATTGTTTTTTCCTTTTTCTTTCAAATGATAAAAGGTGACTTTGAGATTTGATCCTTAGACCTTACTATGAAAATCTTAACCAAATAAGTTAGCTAGCATCCTCCTTCAACCTTTGCTAAATGAATATGGTACATCATCACCAAACCAATGTTTATAATATAAAAATATATCAGATGATAACTTAAACTCTGGACCTTTGGTAATAAGTGGATTTGGTACACCCCATCAGACTGATGTTTAAGTGTAAAGATATATTCAATGAGGTTTTAAGCCCTCAATCTTTGATAAGTGAGTCTGATAGACTACCACCAGATCAATATTTTAGATATAAATATACCAGATGAGATTTTGATCCCTTACCAAATCTCAACCTATGTGACTGATACACTACTACTAGAACGAACAATGTTTTAGGTGAAAAATTTATTGGATGAAATTTTAATCTCTTACCAAATTTTGGTAAGTGGATCCAATACGCACCAAATATCTTTCTTTGAATGGAACATTGATCCCTAAATCTTTGATAAATGGGTCTGAATATCATTCCCAAACCTTAGAACAAAACCCTCATTATAGTTCAGTGATGCAATTTGATTGTCGAATGGTTTTGGAATCTTAACTGTATTTTATTGTGCATGAACAATAAATCATCTTAAATATACCATATTGACCAATGGTGTCCCAACAAGACATGAATATTTCAAAATTTTCTTCTCAAATGAGGATCTTTCTCTTTGTCTCTAGTATATATGGGTAATAAGTACCAGGTCTACTGCCATGGTAAGGCATCTTCCCAAGAACAAAAAAGATGCCAGCCTTTGTCTTTTACCACAGACCTATATGCTATTTGAGTTATTTATACTGGAAATATCAGTTGTAAAATTTTCAGCTACGGCCATGATCTAGCACTGTACAGGTATTGAAACCTTGTCTTCTATGTTAACTGCTAATTCAATATGCAGACCAAACATGATTTGTTGCACTCATACTAAGATATCTGGAAGCGTCACAGAACTCCCAACTAGATGTTTGATTTTTAATGATCCAAGTAATTTTAATCACTAGGAGACGGGATGAAAGAGCTAGGACTGGAGAGAAAGTGAATATGATGCATTGAGTGGCATAGTTTGGGGAATACATCCAAGTACCACAAAAGTATCAGACTTTGCAAGAGGATGATCAAATGAAGCCTAATATATATGAAAAGTAGAATATTAGTGTGGTTTTGTTCCAGGAAGATTAAACATACAAGTTATTTATGTATTGATCCATTAATGAAAAAAAAAAATACAAAGAAGAAGAAAGATCCCATATGGCTTTTTATCAAGGAAAATTCCACCTTCACTCCTATGCTTTTGTCATTTGGCACTTATGATCTAAAGCTTCACATATATCCACATGTATATTATTCCATTGCACACACTAGCCTATCATCTAACACCATCTAGTTTAATTTAGATCGTATGTCATCTATGGATCATAGACACATCAAAAGCTTGATGAGTTTATACCCAAATGACAACCACGAGGTGCTTACATGGCATCCACATGTTGTGATGATACATGCCAATAAAAGCAATTTCTGGTTGGGGCCATAGTAGTCCACAGGTTCCAAGTGGATGACAAATCAGATAGATGACTCCTATCAATATATCATCAATTGTCATTATGTGGATGACAAATGAGCTAGCACCATGTAAAGAAAACAGATTGGAAATTCGAGAACACATTTCGACATCCACTTCTAATCAACAGATACAATGGTTATTAGCAAATGCTAAATTCCAAACCATATTTGTTTGAACCTAATATACAATGGACATGGATTCAGATTGGATTAAACCTGATATACACTAATAGCCAATAAAACTGTCCTGGAAAAAAAAAGTTTCACTTGCAGAGGTGAGTTTCATTCAGCACTCCTCAAACTTCAAACATTATGAGGAGCTTTGTGAACTGGGTGGTTCTTTTTTTTTTCCAAATCAGATATAAGGCAGGTATAGATAAATGTTATATGAACCAAAAATATCATCAAAAAATAATTACTGACACTATAATGACTCAACTGTATTTGATTGTATCTCTTAGGTAAGAAAGCATTATAGCAAATATGAAATGATGACATGAGAAAAGGAGAATATACTAAACATAAAAACTTTTGTTAAGTGATACCTCTACTTAAGTTAATTTTTAGATATGTACCTACAGATACAACGACCCATATCTGGATCTGCATTCAGAAGACAATGGATAGTCAAACTTGAATACAGATATGGATATACAACAAATATGTATTTATGATAAGTCATATTCAGCTCCACTCAGATACAAAATTATATTTGAATAGATTTTATCTGAGCCACTTTCACCTTAGCTTGTGCCATTCTATCTACATGAAAAATAAATAAATTTGAACACCAATCTGCACCATCCCATATCACAAATAATAATAAAATTTTGAATAACAATCAGTAACGACTTATATGACCGAGTCCCAGTGCTTGGACAGATGGATATGATCAATTGAATCCTTGTTTTCTACATTGTTAGGCAAAAACAAAGGGCAGGGAATTGGTCCATGATTTGTAAGCTGAGGAATTAGTGTAATTTGATACTTCAAAAGGAAACATATGCAAAAGGATGCTTGCAAGGTTTCATATGCAAAGACTAATATATTAGCCTTTATGATTCAATGTAAATTAAGAAAAACTAAACATTAAAGACAAGCTTCTGAGGCAAAAAGAAAAACCATGTCATACTATATGGTTGTACCTCTCACAAATGGCCAGCCCAAGGCCATTGCCACTGTATCCTTGACTTGATACATTTTGGCTCTGTGAAAATTTGGTGAAGAGATTTGGTAAATCTTGATAGCTAATTCCACAACCAGTATCTTTGATCTGAAAGAGTAAAGAGCTAAACATATTATGACTGACAATTGTCAAAAGATATCTAAAAACATGAGATGAGATAATGCAGTCCAACTACAAAACTGTTCCTAGAACAATTTGTGTCCACTACAGCATTGATGCACATCCATTTGATAGCAAAGAGCTTATGATCTCAGAATTCTAATTGCCATGACTACCAGTCACTCCTATGAGCAACCCTGGTGAAGAAAAGTGGTGCAAAGAAGAATATCAGAGCTCTTAAACTTTTAAGCTAATAAAAAGCTAATCAGTCTGTCACAGACTTTTAGGATGTGCTACTGACAGTGAATACAATTAACCCTACATCCAGGATTTGGAAATTCAGGACCTCCCTTATTTTCCTACTTCTTTTCTGCTCCCAAATCTCATACAACCGCATTGCACCATTTTATATTAAACAGATCTATGATGAGATAATCAAAATGCTACAGGTTAATCAAGTATGGTATATTCCCAAAACCTGAACTCTCAAGTAGAAGTGTCCATCACTAGCAACTGGATAAAAGTCAAGAGCTCTAAAATCCCTTAAATAATCTGTCCTGGCAACAGAAGCAGTAAGTGAAATGTCCCCTTCCTTTGTAAACCTAACGGCATTAGCAGCAACATTCAACATAATTTGCATAAGCCGTTTTTCATCTCCAATGGCATACAATGGCAGGTCAGGTGACAACATCAATGACACCTGTAGTTTCTTGACAGCTGCAATTGGCTTTATAAAGTTCATAACCTACAATTCAACAAAAAAATTCTATCAAGAAATATAATGACAAAGTAAAACATATCTCAGATGATACAAACATACAAACAAGGACATGCATGCACACACACACACACAGGAAAGTGGGAAAATTCAACATACTTCTCTGAAGACAGAATGAAGATTAAAATCTCCAATTTCTAGCTCAAGGCTTCCATCCTCCAACCTGGAAAGATCTAAAATATCATTGATTAGAGTTGCCAGAAGGCTGCTACTTTTCAAGACAGTCTCAACCATCGATCGCTGTTCAGGGCTTAGTTCAGTCTCCAGAAGCAGGGAAGAAAGAGTAATAGTTGCATGCAATGGAGTTCGCATTTCATGGTTCATGACAGCTAGAAAATCATTGCGAGCACGAATTGCCAATTCTGCCTCCTGTCGTGCTAAATATAGGGCTACATTTTGTTCCGTAAGAAGATCACGTGCCCTCATAGACTCTGCTAATATAGCTGCGTGTGAAAGTGCAACTGCTACCTGAACAGAGGGTATTAATGCATATGAGAGTTTAGGAAGTATACGCTAGGAACTTAAATCATATACGATGCAAATATTTGAGAAAAGAATGACAAAATTTATTCTGACAGTTAGCATTTCAAAACATTGTAGCAATTGCTAGAGCTGAAGTTATGGCAAAATCGAATGACAATACCAGGAACTTGCATGGAAAAAAAAAACATATCAAACTTGAGAAAATCAATAAATCTATGGAGGAAGTTTAATAAGTTCAAAAGTTAATGCCTCTGGATTAGCAAAAGAGAAATCATATCTCCCTGTAGCTTTTAATCCTATGAGACTATCAATTAAGATAAAAATGTCACTAAAACCAATATTCATAAGGCAGCGAAGTATCATAGTCATGTGCATGAATAAATCAAGATGGATTTCTCTTTGAATGTTTAAGAGAATCTGGAACATATTTTACTTGTGCCAGGCTCATTTAAAAATCTTAAATCACGCTGAGGATCACTTAACTTCAAGATTGATTAGATTGAATCTGATGGTTGGATCTGACAGTAAGCATTCAGATGGACACAAATTGGACATCAGGTCTGAATTTAAAATTTAAAAAACATGAAAACCAAATCAAAGTTACAAAAAGTCAAAAACAAATACATAATGAACACTATTGAATTAAAATTCTTAAAAAAGCTACTACATAAAGAAACTGAAATAAATTTTAGCATATAAAAAAATAAATATATTACAAATAACAGATTTTTTTTAATATTCATGCATATTTCATGTTAAAAATATATTTTAAAATTATACTTTATATATCTTGCCAATTATATTTTATAGTTTACATGCACATATCCCTCTCCAAAAAATTTCCTATCCTATGTTAATCTCTCACAAATCACCCATGGTGTTGATAGGTGAGGTTGTTATCATGCAATTTATTGCCTGCACATATTGGATTTGAGAAAGTTTTTGTAAAGCGAATACAAATGGAGATCCATCTGCATCAGCGAAAAGGAGCTTGGCATAAGGAGAGGGGTGCATTCTCACCCTAGCTGTAAAAAAAGCAGCAGCAAAGGTACCTCCTCACTTTCTCCCTCTCCTTTCTTCCTTTCCTCCCCTTCCTCTTCTTGCTTATCCCAGGCATGCGCCATCAAAAATCTGGGGTGCTCCAAATTGGCAATATTTCATGTCAACTATAGCCGATCCGCATCCCAATTAGCAGATTGGATTCGGATTAACAGTTTTAAAACCTTGACTAATGGTTCATATTAGGTTAAAAGCCAACACCGAACAATGTACTGAGCCCTTCCATGATCCCTTCTCAGCTTATGGAACTTTATATTTACATGATATTAGCTGTCAAAGGCTGGATGGTTTCAATGACTATGAAAGGCCATCATGAAAAATCAAACTTAAAATTTGCAATAGGAGGGATTTCAGAAGATAAATCACCTAATTTTTTGCATGCAACAAAAGTAAATTGTGGCTGGGAATTTGTAAGCTTGCAAGTTCTTTTGAAAGAATATTACAAAGGAAATTACCAGAAACAACATAGATCCATCATAACTAAATAACAGGTCTTTACCCGCTAAAGTCATAGTTCTCTGGATCTTTAGACACGTGGTACACCAGTACGTACCTCGTTCCGAGGCAAAGAAGGAGAAGAGGAAGGCACACTGGACGAGGAGGAGGACGAAAAAGGAAGAGGAGGATGGAGGCGATGGAGAAAAAGGAGGAAGAAGAGGAAGCGATGGAGGAGCAGCAAAAAGAAGGAAGAAGAGGAAGCGGTAGAGGAGAATGAAGAAAAAGGAAGAAGAGGAGCAGAGAAGGAAAAAAAGAACTTCCTAAATCTGTTGTGTTATCATCTTACATAAACATTAAACTAGTATACATATACTATATAGTTTGAATAATATTGGACTATTATCCATCACCAGTAACTAGGACTATTGTTTGCAACTTCTATTCAGCAAAAGTACAAAAAGAAAGTTCATTGCATAATTTTAAAGTAATTGTCATGCGACTTCTCGACCATAAACCTTAACATTAAATGAGAATGCTCTTGAGGATTTATTAGTTTTAACAGTTTATGAAAGCAACTATAACTCAAGATGTTAGCCTGTAGGGCTTAATTTGGTTTAGAAATTTCATGGGCATATCCTATGAAATCCAAAGATTTTAGCCAAACACCCTTAAAATCCCACCTAAAAGTTTTTACCCTCAAAATCCTACACTAGAAATAGCATTCACTGAATTCCACCCTTTCAACATCAGTAATTTAGGTAAGATATCCTTTAAAGTCCAAAATTGCACCTCTTAAGACTCAAGCTCCAAGAGTACCCATCAAATTTACTGATCCTAGAATTCAGAAATATTCACTCAGTACATTCCATGGTTGAAACCTTCCAACTAAACACAAATTTTTATCATTAGTTTAAAAAAAAATTGTACCCCTTACTTATAATTTTGGAGAAATACTAGGTTCTAAAATCCCCATACCATACAGGGCTTGAAGTTGAAACTAGATTTCTATCCAGATAACATGAGGCAAGGTAACCTATAACAATGACAATTATAAGGCTCCTTTATATTTATGATTTTATATATCATGCTTATCTTGTTCCAGCTCATCCAATCTAGGATCAGCTATTTAGAACTTTACCAAACTTGAAAGAAGAAACTTCAAGAGAAAAGATCCATGGGGAGCATACCTGTGGTTAACCCAAGGAACAACAAAACCAACCAAGACCTAAAAGGTAGTCCTCTACAGCTACGGCACACTGAAAAAGATTATTTAATTGTAGAAAATACAATGGAACACTTGTATACTAATTTCATCAAGAGATGTATTGAAGATCACGTGCATGTACATAAGAAATAACAGTGCTGAGAATTGCAAATGAGAAATTTAGGATATTTTCTCCTGACTGACAACAAAATGCACATTCATAATGCCACAAGTATAAACCAAATGCAACATTTTTTAAGATTCATATCTAAATGACATCATATCAACTTTGACTATGGTAAAGAAGGGAGAAAGGGGAAATGCAAAGGAGAAGCACATGCTGGTACGTAACTATGAATGGAGCATCAGTTTGGAGATAGAAAAAGGGAATTGTAGGTAAACTCTGAATGGAAATATGTTGAATTAGAAACTTGTTTGCAAATTAAGATACATGCAGAAATTAATAGACATTTTAATGATTAGATTTAGGGCTAATTAGATAATAATTCAAGAATCAGAAACTTTTCAAAATTTTCACGGGCAACTAGGATAATTAATATAAAATACCTCACTACACAACCTGATGTGCATGGCAGGTAAAGACGGGGAAACAAAATAAATAATTAAACATGAAAAATTAAAATAACTTGCTAAGGATAATCTTAAAACTACATAAATAGTTAAATACTTTTGTCATATTGAAGAAAATAGAAAACAGTGGCAAAATTTTAAAAAACAAAAAGCCAGGTTATCATTATAACACAAACACTACCAAACAATATAATGCTAATACTAACAACATTAGGGATGAACACTGAAGACTTAGGAGTAACTACCTGATCAGCAACCACCTCAACAAGCTCTAATTCATGAACATGCCACTTTCTCCCACTATCTGATGGGAGAATTAAAACCATTACCGCATAGCTTTTTGTGGAAAGTTCTGACCAATCACTTATTTGAAAATTTGAAAGATGTAATAGGGGAACTCTCACTGCAGCAACTTCTGGTGGCACATGTCTTACTGATAAAGGCCATATCCTTGCTAATCGACAAGTATGTGGAATTATCATTGCGTGATTACTACTGAAAATTTGGTTGACCACAGGAAGATTAATTGGCACAGCGGAACCAGTAGGAATTTGGTGGTGCAGGGTATGGGAAAGCTGAAGTGATGTACCACTATGTGATGGCATCCATAACATACAGTCCTTCAAATCCAAGGTTCTCCCAAGCTCAACAAGAGTAGTCTTTAGTACTGTATCTCTATCAAGTGTGCTTCTTATTTCATGAGTAAGCATTCGAACATGCCTTCCAGTTTCTTCCTGTGTCCGTATCAGGCCCATCTCCCTGTCAAGCTCTTCAGCTTTATTCTTCAGAAATAGCTCCCTCGTTTTCACACTTAATAAATCAGGAATGATATGAACGAGCATTAAAGCTGTTGCACAGGATACTACAGCAGTTGAAACTTTAGCAACAGTCATAACAATGGCAAGAGTTCTTGAATGCAGGGCAAAGGTCCACAAGTTGATCAAATGAGTTGCTCCACAAAGAACAATAAATGCAC